TTTACTGGGAGGGGATGGACCAAGCGCTGCCTGACGAAGTCACCATCACGTCCTGGAAGAACAAGCCCTGGAGCTCAGAAGATGGTGAGACCTGTACAGAAAGATTATTGGTTTGAAGATACTATAATCAAAACTCTTAAATCTAACTGGACAAGAATTAGAAATAACGCTTACACTCGTGTCTCCCTCTCTTTGCAGGTGAACCCTGTGCTCATCCCAACTCTCGTTTCTGCACTCCGGCCGGTCAGTGCCCGATCATTGATCCGCAGTGGGAATCCCCAGAGGGAGTCCCCATCGAGGCCATCATTTTTGGAGGGCGCAGACCAGAGGGTGAGAAGGAACTGGGTGGAAAACCTGGAAACTATAAAATGGCTAATGCTAAAGACTCTTGTCTAACTCGTGGCTCTGGTTGGTTTCAGGCGTCCCTCTGGTGTACGAGGCCTTCAGCTGGCAGCACGGAGTGTTTGTTGGAGCGGCCATGAGATCGGAGGCCACTGCTGCAGCTGAACACAGAGGTCAGAATCTTTTCATTCACCACAAACCTTTATCTGAGTCTTATCATGAATTAATTCGATTCTTCCCAGCTGAAGGATCCTGGTTATTATTTAACAACTCAAACTTCTGTTTGCCTGCACATCAGACACACTTCACTTTACTGAAGTGTACTGATGGAAAGATATTCACTCATCCCCGGTCTCCATCTTCTCTCCAGGAAAGGTAATCATGAACGACCCATTCGCTATGCGCCCCTTCTTCGGCTACAACTTTGGACAGTACCTCTCTCATTGGCTGAGCATGGCTGAGCGTCCCGGTGCCAAGCTCCCCAAGATTTTCCATGTCAACTGGTTCCGCAAGAGCCCGACCGCCGGCTTCCTCTGGCCCGGTTTTGGCGACAACATCCGCGTTCTGGACTGGATGTTCAGGAGGGTGAACGGCGAGGCCGGCGCCACGCTCTCCGCCGTGGGCCACCTGCCTTGCCACGGCTCCCTGAACCTCCAGGGTCTGCAGGGCGATGTGGACCTGGATGAGCTGTTCTCCCTGGATCAGGAGTTCTGGCAGAGGGAGGTGGAAGAGGTGAGGAAGTACTTCACCACGGAGGTGAATGACGACCTGCCCAACGAGATCACACATCAGCTGCAGCTCCTGCAGCAGAGAGTGAAGCAGATGTGAGGACGGAGGAAAGAGAAACACGTGTTGGGCATGTTGGTAATTCTACAGTTTGTCCTTCACATTCGAGAACGGAGAAGATGGTGTCTGCTTCCTGAAGGCAGTGTCTTCAGGAAGCTCCGCATGCATCAACATCCGTCGTTGTGCTGATGACACCACGATGTATTGCAAATTAAATTGAATAGAACTCAGTGGAGAACATGTCAGAAAAGGATTTTAGATCAGAATGTCAGAAAAAAAAGATAAATATGATAAATTCTTCAACAGAATGTGAGAATTTCTCACATATTTCATTTTACGAGGGACTCACTTTCTTCTGAGGATTTCTTACTTCGAGGTGTTAACGAACAAATTAACTCAAAGAGAAATAATTAATTCATTTGTTTGCTAGAAATCATCTATTTGTTGAGATTTATTTTGGGGGGAAAAAGATTCTGGGAATATTTACCTGGGAATCTTCGCATGAACAAATGAAACATTCGTCATTCATCCTCACTGGCTTGTACCGGGACTGCTGATCTGAAGTCTGTCCTCTCAACTCTCACTCTCTGCTGCACAAAGTTTTAAACTTTTGTTTAAACATATTGTCAAACTGCTCAACTGCTATTTAACAGTAACTTATTATGAATGCACATCACACAGTCCTCACCATGTGGATTCTTATGGAACAAAGAGTAAACGAGTCCAGGTTCACTCAGCACAAGTTTGTTAGATATGTTTTCTGTACCTGATGTATTTTTTTGTCTTAAATTATTTTTATACTGTCTCAGTCTCTAGGTTCTGTTTTGTTTTACTCTTGAATAACACAGAACAAAATAAAGGTATTTAAATGTATCAGTGATTCAGCCTCATTTTTTTTTTTTAAAGGGTCTTGTCATTATTACAGAGGAGCGTCACTAAAGGTCCAAATAAAAAATAAAAATGTCCTCGGGAGGAGTTAACAGACAGTGGAGACAAACACTTTTATTCATCAGGCAACAAAATCGTGATTCAGGATAACGAGAGAATGAAGCAGCATCAGAAGTTTTTATCTTGTTAGTGTCTGATGCAAATCTAAGAACTTGAGAGTCCTCACACTGAAGTGTTGCACGGTGCTTCTTTCTTCCTGAAGCGCATTGTGAGGATTATCTTATCTTAAACAATCAACCAGGACAGAACAGAGTCTGATCACCAGTGATACAAATCATTGGAGGGCGATAAACCTCAATCAGGCAATGTTTACTTTTAATATTGTTATAATGCCAATTTACAATGATGCATAGTGACGCCACGACAACATCATTCCCATCACACACACACACACACACACACACACACACACACACACACACACACACACAAACAAATAAACATAAGTTCCGTCCTGATGTGTTGCTTTTCATCATGACATCATGTATTTACTGGTTCCACTGGTTCAGACTCAAGCTGAACAACATTCTGTCGACAGCGCTCTAAAACTCTAACGTCACACAAACAACAGATTCAATGATTCTACGTTAACCACAAACCCTCAGGGTGAGTGTGTGTCTGTCCATGTTGTTGTGTAAGACTTTAATCATCGCTGACTTGTTTTTGACACCGTGTGTGTGATCTGGGTCTTTTGTGTTCGTGTACCGTGAAACACTGAGGACAAGACACAAACAACAGTGACCTTAAACATTAATAACGGGTTTGACAGATTGTGCAGGAATCTATTGTGTCTGACGTCTGAGGCATAGTCCATAAATTAAGACTCTTGAGTCTTTGCTTGGCAACTTATTCATTAAGATTTTTTCTGCAGCTTAATTACGTTCAGTCTCGGAGCCCGGTGGCTCGGTCGTGTGACAACAAATTCATTTCTGGCAGCAACTTATTCGCCTCCACGTGACCTTTAAAGAATAATAAACGCAGATGTTTCAGTGGTGAACCTTCACCTCCCGTTGACTTTAAATCCCCGGGGGTGAGGGATCTTCCTCTGGCGAGCGAGGCAGCGTATAGAGCTCAACTTTAAATCACGATGTTCGCCTTGCCTTTGTGTGACGGTGCGCTCGGTGGTACACGATGGATGTGATCCTGTTCGCCTGAAATCTATTTTTGTTACGTTAAATCCAGGAAATAAGAGGAGGGAACAAAAATATGTCATTTGAAACCAGGAAAGAAAAAGACAGATGAAGAAAGATGATTTGTGGAACTCTCTCAAAACTTAAACCAAAGATGATGCCACAGAAAGCAACGCCAACGAGATCAGGTCAAAGGAAACGACGAGTTGCACCGTCCAGGAGGGACAATCACCTCCTGGCTGCACACACACGTTCAACATAACTTTTATTTTGACCCTTCTTTCAAACCAGTTTCAAATAAATACAGATTGTAAAGCTGCATGTTTCTGAATGAGATTCTCTATGAATGAACGGCAGCAGACGATAGAGGAGCAGTGATAGAGGAGCAGTGATAGAGGAGCAGTGATAGAGGAGCAGTGATAGAGGAGCAGTGATAGAGGAGCAGTGATAGAGGAGCAGTGATTTGTGAGCTGCTGACTCTGCTGAAGATAAAATACCTCAGCTCTTATCAGTGGAGGTGTTAATGGACTGTACTGTTCTAACGGTGCCAATGAAACATTAAAGATTACAACGAAAAGAAATGACGCGACTTTGGAATCAGATCGTTCTTCAGGTGACTGACCCACATTATTGAAATTTAGGGACTTTGTGACTTTGTGAGAAACACGACTTCATCCGGACACAGAGACAAACGGCTTTTTCCTCTTTTTCAACACAAACTTGAATTAATGTGTTTGTTCTAATGTTGTTTTATCTGGTTTTTGAAGCATTTTCAGTTTGTTATCGTCACCTTCACACTTTAACACTGACCACGTGCATTAGAGGAGACTTTACTGATCACGTGTCACATTCTGGATCATTGCACTGAAGATAGAAAAATGATTTACACTAAAATAATGAAGAAAGAGCACAAAGAGATGTAATGAAGCAATGAAACACGGACGTATCAAAGGTGAGGCCTTATCTGTGTGTGTGTGCGACACACACTCATGCAGGGTCCAGTCGGACAATAACCCACGACTGGACGTCAGCGCTGATGAGGACACTGATTGCTGAAGGATAAAGTCAACGAGAATTTCCTGCAGTTTCCTGAAAGTTTCACACGTCACTGAAACTACGTCAGAAACTGCATGTTCAGAAAAACACGAGTAAACTGCCTGTGAATATGTGATTTAATGAGAAAAGTACTGAGTCTCGTTGATTAGATTTAAGGGTTTCACTAAGTTATTTTCATGCAATCGGTGACATGAACATTTGTTCGAAATCTGCAGTCACAACATTTTCATTGTCTCTGCTCACATGTCGGCCTGCACACGAGGAAACACATTCAGAGGACGAACACGAGGAGACAGTCTCCGTCCTGACTGAAATATATCCTGAAATTAAAAAAACGTCCTGCCGCAGGACAGTGAAAAGCAGAATCACTCGAATGATCCTCGACTGATCTTTGGATTCAGCTTCAATCATCAACCTAATCACCTCGTTCATCATTTTACAACTCATCTGCAACCTTTTCATCAGCTCAGCCAAGTGAGCAGTAAAGCGGCCGGAGCGGTGTTTGTCTGACGGGCACAGAGTCAAAGTGTGAGGCAACACAGTGAGCGTCAGAGAGCGGAGAGACGGACTGATAGTGGAGCTGGTGATCTGATAAACCCCCCCCCCCCCGAGGCCGGAGATGGAACCAGAGGAGAGTCACTCACTGTGAAGCTGATGACTCACTTTCATTCACTGATCACTCACTGATCACTGACAGTTTCACCACCGACCGATCTCACCAGCTCACCTGACGACTCAGAGTTTCTCTCAGGTGAAGACTGAAGCTGATCAAGTCTCAGGATTTTAAATTCCATCCAACCAGGTCTCAAGATATCTGAGTTCGAATCCGGTCTCAGCTCAGGTCAAAGGTCAGGGGACAGGGGACAGGTCCACACAAATCTCTTTTGTCTTCATATATGTGAGACTGAAATCCTTCCAGACAACAAGTCAACCCTTCAATTCTTCACTTTCAAATCCAAACTTCAAACATTTATCTCTTATCTCTCATATAACTGATTATTTACACTGAATACTCACATTTATTTACCGTATGATCGGTTTTATCGTTCTATTTTCCTGCTTTAGTTCTTTCTGTCTTTCTAAACTTCCCTGGGATCATCTATGATTTCATTTACAAACACAATTCAATTGAATTGAAAAACTCCAAAAAGTTCAAATCCAGTCGCGACCCGGGTCAGATCAAGTCTTTAAGACGAAATTAGATTTTCGTTGTTTTACTGACGGGTCCAACTTTTAACTTATTGAATTTAAATCCAAGTCTCGAGTCCAGACACTCGTCCAAGTCAATGAAAGTAAAATCCACGTCTGTCCTCGTTGTTGTGACGTCTACGGCTTCGATTTATGTCTGTTTCTTTTAAATGTGTGACGAGTGCCTGGCAACTCGATAAAAGTAAAAACGTGTAGTACACACAGTATCTAAATATGTATATATATCAGTATACAGTATCTACATTTATGTATATGAGGCGATATCCACTGATTTGTTCAGTCAGTCTCCAGTCCTCAGTGTTGGAGGCACACGAGGTAACAAATAGGGTCTTTGTCTCTTTTTATCTCCTTCCCTCTTTCCTTTTTTCTCTCCTTCCCTTGTTTTATTTTCTCTTGAACATTATTAAGCTGTAACACATATCAGTTCTTATCTTTCTGTTTCCAGGAGGTTTTGAAACTCACTGAGTCCTGATTACTGAAGAGGTCACGTCTTCAGGGCGGGTTCAGTATATTTAGTTTTGACTGATGAACATCTGCTGAACAAAAAGAAAGAAAACCTGTGATAAAGAAATTAAAATTAAAATAAAGATAATAGCAAAGATGTTTTTCAGTCAGACGACTAAATAAGGAAATAGAACAGGATGTTTGGAATGCAGAAGTGCGGTATTAAAAATAAATCTTCATCGTCATCTCGTTG